ACTAGTTCATAATAAATCACGGAACCCCTCTATATGACTACGTAGTATTTCGTCTGAATCCAAACAAGAGTTTTTTGTTCTGAGTGGGAATTGTTTTTGTGGCCTTCTTGCCGCTGGTCTCCAGAGTGCCGCCAAGATGATCAAGGAGTCCATGGACAAGAAATTCGGCAGTTCTTGGCACGTGGTGATCGGCGAGGGCTTCGGCTTCGAGGTCACGCACGAGGTGAAAAACTTGCTCTACATGTTCTTCGGCGGGAGTCTGGCCGTGTGTGTGTGGAAGTGCTCCTAGCATACACACAGACGCACAAGCTTTTTTTTTTTTTTTTTTTTTGCTTGTCCCACTATCTGTTCGCCAAAAGAAAACCAGCCACCAGTTGTACTCTGGCTACAAAAAGTCACAGAGGTTTGACTGCTGCTTGGACTTGGGGAGAAGAACTGTGACATCAAGTCTTGACTTGCAGACACTTGGAACAGCTTCCTGCCTTATCTCCCATTTGTCTTTTTTTTTTCTCAAGGAATTTCCAAGGTGTCACCACTCACTCTGACAAAACAACCTAGCCGGCCAGGGTCTCCAAACACCTTTGTCCTCTTTCCTCTGCAGGGAGTGTCTGCTGTGAGTGTGTGTGCTGGACACACACGTGAACGCACTGTTCTTTTTTTTAAACCGATACCAAACATCACCTAAAATGTCCGTGTCATCTCTCAACTTTTCTTACAATTGGACCCACTTCTCTTTCAATACAATGTTTTTTACATTTTTTTAAAAAAAAACATGTACATAGTTGGATGTGACTTGAAACAAGTGGCATCTTCTTACAAATGACCTGATCTACCTTTTTTTTTTTTTTCTTTATTGTAAAGGTTTTTTATAACCCGGTATGTTTTACTGCCTTTGTTCCATATCAATGGTTCGCGACACAGAATGAAGGGAATTAAGCGGCGTGGCCCGCCTTTTGATGTCAAATCCGGGCCATGACAAAGGCGGAACTGTGTGCAACAGTAATGGCTGGGGCAGAGTTGGGGTTGGGGAATTTTTGCCTTCCTGAGCTAATATCAGAGCCATAACAAGAGGAACAATCGCCTGTGTCCAAGGCTATTCACCAAACCAGGCCTGGAGTGTGAAGCAGAATACCAAACCCTCACTTCTCCCAACCCGTCGTCGCTGTCCGACAAGCATTTTATGCCGATCATTCGATGCTGACGTCGGCAATTTCTTTACGTACACACAGCAGTGGCAATAATCCCCGCGCCTTTAGCCCGGGGGGGGTCTGTGTCAAAGGTGAAGAAATTCAGAATCTTTCGTTGCTGCAATTTTTAGCAAGAGTTTCCGTGCAAGAGGTTATTGTGCGTGCAAGAGATCAATGTGATATACGTAGTGAGGGATAATAAAACTCTGAAATGTGAAACGGCAGCCTGCACTTTTTGTATTTGTTGTCAGGACCCAGTAGTCCTTTGAATAGTACCGTTGGAGCACAGCACGGAAGGAACAACGGTTGCAACAGTCATTAGCGACTGCATCGAGCACACGTCTTGTGTTGCGGCTGGATTTGCCAAAGTTAAAAAAAGCAAGCCGACTTGCCACCGAGGAATACCAAGCCGCCGGCGAACATGATGTACGACTCTTCAAACAAATACAGAGAAAACTCAAAAAGATCCCTTCCCGAAGTGACTTGACAAAGAGGAACAAGATGAGAGTGTACGCTTTTAATCAGCAGCCAAAGAGAATACAAATGGAAAGTTCAAATATTCTCACAGTTGAGATTTGTGGCATCCTAACAAAGCGCCTGAGAGTAGCAAAATATTCGGAAACTATGTGAGTAGTAAATGGCCAAGAACTTTACTCTCAGCCCAATTTGTACTTTTAAAGAATCTCTTACCATCATATCTTTTTAAAAACGGTTTGTGGAAATTCAAATCATCCATCCATTCATCCATTTTCCGATCCGCTTTATCCTCACAACGGTTGCGGGGCATACTGGAGCCTATCCCAGCTGTCTTCGGGCAGTAGGCTGGGGACACCCTGAACCGGACACCCTGAACTGGTTGCTAGCCAATCGTAGGGCACACAGAGACCAACAACCATCCACACTCACACCTAGGGACAAATTAGAGTCGTCCATTAACCTGCCATGCATGTTTTTGGAATGTGGGAGGAAACCGGAGTACCCGGACAAAACCCACGCAGGCACGGGGAGAATATGCAAACTCCACACAGGAAGGCCGCAGCTGAGATCGAACCCACGACCTCTGCACTGTGAGGTCGATGCGCTAACCACTGGGATGCCGAATTTCAAATCAGAGACAAATATTTTTATTACGATGTCCAGTGCTTAACAAACGTTATCAGGGCACTGCCCAATGTCAGGTTTGTCACAGCTTCCTAAAATTTAGCAGCGTGGTAGTGACCTACGGTTGGAATGACACCGTTGATTGCGGCTTGTGTTTAGAATATCATCAAGTCTTGGTCTGCAAGTGTTAACTGAAAAGAAATGTTTTCCCCCAGGCTCTGTAATGAAGTGATGTCATTGCCTCTCGCGTTGTGCCAGCGCAAGGGCACCCTGACCCACTGATGTTGACAGAATGAGCATAATGTACCCAAAACACACAATCGGGTCACTTTGTACTCGAGCCACACAGAGAGAATATTGTGTACTCGCTACGGAACAAATCTGTCAACATGTTTAAATTGTGTTTAGACACATTTTTATTTGATGGCTATGTTTATGGATAAATTGTGTGTATGTGAAGGGACAGATTGAGTACACATCATGTGACTAAATAACACTGAGTTTTTTTATTTTTATAATCCTGCTGGAACACAATTCAAAAGCAACATCTGATTTCCATTGGTTAATTGTCGTACATTTTAAAATTATCATTACTTTTGTCAGATTCAATTTATTTCTGTGACCACTGACCGCTCTGGGTGAAAGGGAGTGGGGACTTTTTTGTCGACATGTGTACATGTTTCTGTCCGGACAGAAAGATGTTTACATTATCTGTCGATCAAAAGGAGAGACAGTTTGTGGTGAAAAGCTGAAGAATAAAATGAATTCCCCCGATACTGTGCAAATGCGCCCCCTTATATCATAGCATTAAAATAATCCTAATTGTAAAGTTCTTTTAACATCTCTTAAATGTACACATTCCCCAAAACAACCAAAAAGTGATGATTGAACCGGTCTAAAAATATATATATATATAATAATAATAATAAAATATACACAAGCAATACTCCACACACACTACATGGACAGTCTCAACTCTCTGATGATGCCGGTGGGTCCTGTAAACATCAACCCGCCCCTCCTAACCTGCTGACAATTTGGTGCATCTCATTCATTATTCATACCAGCCCCCTCTTTAAATATCTCCTCCCACCTCCTTTATTGCTTTGTTGTTAAATATTCATACGCGGAGTCACACTTCTGGCTCACCAAAAAGCTTCCATCTTGCACAGAAGCTTACAGCGAGGGAGATGTTGGCACTAGTGGAGGGTGTTAAATGTCGTGCACTCATTCCTCGCATGCAAACTCGGAAGTATCAACAGGAGGTTCATGAAAATGGTTAGTTTAAAATTGTTGTTTTTTTTAATGTTAGTCACTGCAAAGTCTCAGAAGACTGCTTGCAAGTTTTTGAAATCCTCACGTGTTCCCAGTTAATTTTGCAGGGTCAGGTGATCAGGGATGTTTTAATTATGTGAAAATGATTAAGAAAATTTCACATTAATCAGTGATGGGCACGTAAGGTTGATTTTTTTATTTTTTTTTCCACCACACACAAGCGGCTCGGCTCGGTTGAAACTGCGGCGTGTAGCACCGTAGTTTTCATAGCTAAGACACAAAAACCACCCATGCAAACGTGAACACTGATTGATTTTTAAGAGATAAAATGACAAGGCATTAACCAGTCGGTTCACTATTCACAAGAATCGGGATATTTGGGAGAAATTTCAGGAGGCACCTGCAATGCACTTTGTAATTTACAGGTCATCGTCATTTGACCTTCTCTAAACTTTTTAATGCAACTCTCAATGTTTCAGTAGTTCTTGCACAAGAACAGCAAAATTCACGACAGTTTTTTTTTTTTTTTTAATTCATGGATGGACCAATTCATTTCCTGTTTAAATCGGAATTGGTCCTCTTTTTACGCTGTTCTCCTTTGGACATCACGGGACCAAGACGACACCAAACAATTGATCAACTGTACCTCGCCAAAACAGGACGTTCGCAGAGGAAAGTGGTCACTGAGCTTAACAGTGTCACAGAATGTCATCAACAGGTTTGCAAGAGGCATATAGAGACTGGAAGAGTCACAAAAAGGCATCGAAGTGGAAACACAATAGGCCGACAACTGATACCCGAACCACCATTTTGCAACTGGATTTCGGGCTTGGTTTAGTGTTTGCCACATACTGTGTCCTCATTCCATGTTTCTCTCGAGTTTGAAAGCCGAGCGCCGTATCTAAGCAACCGCCTCAGCACCTGAAAAAAAAAAAAGGTGGCAGCCGCTTCTGAGTGCTTGCGCAAGTGCGTGTGGGGTTGGTGAAAAGATACAGGTGGAACAAAGAAAAAGCGGATAGAGAGTCTCAAAAGTCACCCCAGGACAAAAAAGAAATTGCACTAGAAAACGAGCATCAGACCAGAACAGAGATGAATTTTTCATCTGAGCGTCACTGGTTGGCTCTTTTGTGATGGCGATATGGGAAACACAATTTCACTTGAAAATAAGTGTGTTAGTGTGCGGCTTCCATTTCGACCATTGGAGACTGCGTCGAAATTAAAAGAGCGCATCGAATTTTGGGAGATGTGTATGAAAAAGGCATAAAAGCTACTCTGCGGATGTTGATGTGCGCATCAAGGCTTTAACCAGCTTGTTTACGATACACCAGCATGGGACACAGTATGTTCCAAACAAAACAAAAAAAAGACTGGAAAAAAAAAACAAACAATAAAAGAAGCATGGTGCATGCGAGGAGAAAAACAAATCATTAACGCAGGGGAAGACGCATGAAGATGACAGCTCCCTGCTGCGAATTCCGAAGACCAGGAAATGAGAACTCATCTCTCCTCGTGTAACATGTGACATCCAAAAGATGAAGGATATGACTTTTACCAACTGGATCTTGACGTCGGCTTGTGGGGAGCTTCATAGACTCTCTCTGCTTTAATTGGAGACCACACTGAGAACCTTGCGGCTCATCAAATATGAACGTCCACTCCGTTGACCAAGATGAAACTGTATTTCAGGGACAGCGGTTACCACAGTGGACAGTTTATCATGTTATCAGGTTACAGGGTGCGTGAACGGGTTAAATAAACAGCAAGCTTCTAACTTGTGCTGAGCAAGTTCTTCCACTGCGAGTCACAAAAAGCTACACTGTCCATCGTTGACTTAGTTAGCAGGCAATTTCACGGTTCATGCAAGGTGACGAGCAGATTCGGTTCACGGCGTGATACCGTGACGATTCCGGGGCATTTAACGTTCAGCATTTTCTATGTTGTTGTTTATCTACTGACCTGGCCTTCCCGAAAACTAAGATACAAAAGTTGTAATTTGACAGAAGAGTACTGCTGAGTGGACTCTCTGCCAATTGTGACAGTTCAAACGAGTGTACAGAGTGGTACTCAGATCACTTTAACCTGGCACGGTGTCCAAACTGCCATAGTACAAACAAAAGGGGAAAGACTAACCCGCGGCTGATACCAAATATTCCTTTTCAACTTCAGCAGTGCGGCAGAAAGCCCGATTGAAGACGTAAGTTGTCTTTTTTCTTCGATGGATGTTGGAATATTTTGTGACTTAAGTGAATGGAGTGCCAGCTCAGGTAGGAGCGATGGGTTATTTATTTGTGTTACTGGACACGTCCCCCCCCAACCCCACCCCCTATTTCTCCCTTTCCTTGCTCTTCTTCTTGTTTCCAGGAGGATGATGTGGCGAATGCGCCGTCGCTCCAGGACAATCTGTCTGTCCTTGGCACTCGTTTTCATTTTCCTGCACCTCCTCCTGATGTTCGTCTCCCTTTCCTTGTACCACCAACCCTGTGACCCCCCGCCACTCACTCGGACACCCTTCGCCAAACACCTGGCGAACAAAAGCTACGACTTCACGACCGTTGCAGTTGTGGCTGAATCAACGGACGGGCCACGGAGACATTCTCCCGGTGTCCCTTTGGACCATTTCCAGGGCGGAAGAATAAAAGCACCCATTGTTGAGCCTCTTGCGTCAAGTCTGGCGAAGCTACAGGCGCTGTTTAACCATCCTCTTTACAATGCGCCCATGTCGGCCGTTCAAGATGAGGATTTGTTGTTGAAGGTCATACCAAAGCTGCGGTCCGAGAGGAGCTCCCAAATGTGGTCAGTAGACAGAAGCTGAATTTACAATAACTGCAGGTCCAAGTGTACCTTTTCCGATTGAATGCTTATATCCGATTTTCGTGTGCATTTCAAGTGACACGTGTTCATTATAACTCATGGAACAAGTGCGGACGGCCACACCGCATGTTAACAACCACCAGTCGGAACACGAATGTTAAATGTTAGATACCGTTTGTTGACACACATCCGAAACATATCGGATTTTGATCCATATTTGAAAGAGACCTGATTGCGAGCTGAGGTCCGACGGCGAATGTGAGAGGCGGCACTCCAAATGACCATGACGGTGTCCGCAGGGTGAGTAGAAGCCAGGAAAGTTACGACAACGCCCACTGGAACAGCAGCAGTGACAGCCATCCCCCCTGGCTGCGTTTTCATCTGGCCATCTCCCGCTGGCAGCTCTACCCCCACCCGGACCCCAACATGGAGTCTGTGATCCAACAGCTCGCCACTCACCGCATCGTTAGCTCAGGTATGATGTAACGGCCCGCTTGCAGCCGCGTGATGTTGCGACGGGAAATGGATCTCAATCGAAGGGAATGCAGGGGAAGTCCACTTGAAGAGGGTTACATTAGAAAAAAAAATGAGATGCTAGAGCCAACACTGGAGGTCAAAGGGTGAGTGTCCTTTGAGGACAAGGGCAGATCGGAGGGAACGGTTTTGAAGAACAGCTGACAGCCGCTGTTTAGGAGTGACACTTTCAAATGCAGATTCAACCCTTGTTTGATTCTGTCAGCATCAAGAGGCTTTTAAGAAACTTGGAGGATCAGCTGAGGATTGTATGGAGCGTTACATTCATTGGGGTCACACTTTCACATGACGCGAGAGGAAATTCAATTGATGGGTTTGTCTAACAAAAATTGGGACTTGCTCAATTTACTGTAACATGTAAACAACTTGAACATCTTTAAAAATGATTTTTTTTTCAATTTCTCTGGAACCCATGAACCGATTTTCCAAATCCTTTGTATGTTGTGCTTAGGTTTGTCGTTTCAGTACCAACTACAGTCAACATCTTGACAGACTGTTATTTTTGGGAACTCTTGTCACGTTGCTAATAACACTCTCATCTTTTTTTTTTTTTCCAGTGCAGAAAACCGGGGGTACGCAGCTGAAGCTGGTGATGTCATTCCCAAACTATGGGCAGGCCATGTTCAAACCCATGAAGTGAGTTGATCATGGAAAAAATTCGCATTTGAGAGACCGTATGAAAAAAAAAAAAAACGTCAACATTTCCTTGAGTTTGTGTGAATCCCTCAGGAGTACATCTCACACGTCCTTACTAACTTGCCGATAGACAATCCTTTCCAATCAAGTGGTACAACAGTAGAACCTGTCAGGTCGAACATGAGCCATTCTTGGGACTCTGGTCGATCGAGGATATAATAAGGATGTGTGATCAATTCCCGAGATTGTGCTTCACAGTCATCTGTGACCGACATTCTGTGCTTGCAGGCAGGAAAGAGATGATGAAACCAACTATAACCTCTACTATTTCTCTGACTTTGAGCGTCACAATGCAGAAATTGGAGCCTTTCACCTAGACAGGTATGACATCACATGCGTGTAAAGCGGGGTAAACGCATACCAATTTTTAACATACACACTCGCAACAAAAAAACCCAAAAAACATAAGTAAAGGTATCTCTGCCGAAAATTGCAACTGTCCTTTGCCAAAACCAGATGTCTGTCGGGTCAAGACGAATGTGAGACGCACTATCGTGCCACAAGGCATGCAGACATAAAACACAAAGAAGAAAGCTAAGAAGAACCGGTAGACGCTCACATCACAGTTAGCTTATCTGGTAACTATATTAAAGCAGCCATTTTTATTGTGAATTCCACTCTCTTTCTCTGTGTCTGGCAATAGTGTGAGCTTCAGGTCATTCCTGACCGAGTCACGATTATGGCTCAACCCAACTGGGCTTTGACCACATATACAAGGATTTGTGATGGAATATATTGAACAGGTTTAACGTTAACGGTTGTTGACACCACTGATCTCACTTTTGACACAGCCACACCACAGGATAAAGTGGAGAGAAATGCTCAAATTCGACCCCGAGATAGGGATCGGTTTCCCGCTATAAAATAAAGCACAAGCGTACGAGTGCGCAGCTGAGTTTACGTTACATGAAACCCCACTGTAATTTCATCATGCGTCTCTGCCCTTCTCTGGTGTGCTCATTCAGTCACTTCTCAGCCTTTGTATTTCCTCATTCTGCAGGATTTTAGGGTATCGGAGGGTACCTCCAGTCGTTGGGAGGCAGGTGGATGTCGTCAAAGAGATTAAAGACATCACGACGGATCGCAAACTGGCCCGGACGTTTTTTAACTCCCCCGGTAATCCTTG